GTGAAGAAGATAAAGAAAAAGAAACTTCCCCATCCCCTCAAAGATCATCAAGGTAAAATTTGTGAGAATGCTGGATTCTTATATCTAGAATTGTCAGTACACATTAAAAATGCAAAAGATATGATCCAATTTTGATGAAACTTGGTATGCTTATGAACTTTGGAGAGATCTCTATGAATAATTCTATTGCGCTAAATTAAGCTGAAATAGTCAAATATTGAGTTTCACCTTGATACACTGGCCTGTGAACATGATTCTAATAGATGCAACAGTTATTTGTTGGAATTTTATAAATTATTATCAAATTTATAGAATTATATCCACAAGATCTTGGGTATGATTTGACAAATAAAGACTGAGTTACAGTCCTTGATATACAAAATGATGCAATACTTCTCTAGTATGATTTCTACTTGTTTTTAAACCCAATGATTATCAGATCTGCAAATAGTTTATTAAATGTAATGATAATAATATTTGTCTCCATGAATTAAAACATGTTTCAAATATTAAGTAATTTGTTCAAAATGTTTGTGTATTACTAACAATATTTAAATCAATGAATTGGTTTCTGTGTGGGCATAAAGCCTTTTGAGAAACCTTACCTTCTGACAGTCTTTCATTTCAACTCTTCAACAAACAATTTATTTCCTTTAGTAACGATCAAAATATTTGGCTGAAATGAACTTTGCTCGTGAATATACATTAGCTTCAGACGACCTTTCTATAACTGAATTGGTATTTAGAAGAAATCTGAAGTTAATGCTTTGGATCTCTCAAAGTGTTGCCACATTAAACTGCTCTATTGACATATGTTACTTTGTCTTGCAAGATATCTTTTGCATTGCAGAAGTAGAAGAAAGCTTAATGAAGATCATATTACCAGACAGAAGTTAAAAGAAACGGATGAGAAAACGGCAGACATTGCAAGAAAGGTTGAAAAGAAAAATGATGAAAAGGAATCAAAAATTATTCCTGAAAAACTGAAGTCTGATTTGAAGAGGCAGTATGATGAGTCTTCAAAAGAAAATGATGCTCAAAAGAGACCTAAAAAGATCAGTAGAGTGGAGGAAGATGGAAAGAATACTGATAAAGAGTCATGCCCTGAAGAAAAAATGGATGTTCATACTTCCAGATCAGTTGAAATGAAAACTTCAAAGGATTCTTATAAAGCTGAAACTGAAGATGAAACCACCAAAGATAGTAGCCCTGAAAGAGAGATCAAGCAAGCATCCATTTCTGATGAACCAAAAGGGGAAGATTCCGAAATGGATGTTGATGAAAGCAAGGTTGTGCAGCAAGAGAGTAAAGGTAGAAAGTTGCGCTCATCATCCAGTTCAAGAAGTCGGTCAAGATCTGGTAGTCGGAGAGATCGCTCATCTTCAAGTTCCTCAAGTTCATCAGATTCTAGTTCCACAGATTCTTCAAGTGAAGAAACCCCTGTTAACAAACAAATTCAAGGTACAGAAATCAAGAAAACATCTCACATTTCCCCTGCGCATTCTCCATCTTCAAATAAATCAGTTTCTCCGAAGCCTAAAGCATTGTCATCAACACCAGTGGCCAAGGAAATTGCACCTGCATCTGAATCAGAAAAGTCAGGAAGTCTTTCTCACATAAAATCACCAACATCAAAAGCTGATGAAAGATCCCCCTCGCCACCAAAGAAGATTTTGGTCCCTAAGATAAAAAGATCTCCAGAAACCACAGAAGATTCTGTTGCTGACAGCTATGAGAAAATGGTAAATATAATATTGCTGCATGGGCTTTCAATTCGGTTATTGGTAGGGGGAGGTGATATGTGGGTATTGTGATATTTATCTTTAAACTAGATGTTCTTTACATCTGAACATCTGACTCCATTAAGTCCAACAGGATGCCTGTTTTGATGGGTTTCAATGAACATGATTTAACTATGTGTCATCATTTAACATTCCTTCATTGTTGTGTCTCTGCATTAGTTCATAATTATGTAATAATTTCAGGATCAGTTGTTGACCAAGAAGGCAGTTGAGACTTTGAAAGAAGGTGTAGATGCAGGAAACACAGGAGTCAAGTAAGTCATGTTAGATTTGTGTATGTATTAATGTGTGTGTTCTGTTTCTTAATCCAGACACCTCAAATATGATTTCAATAATGGAATACTACCTAATACAGAACAGTGAATCAAGAATCAAACCTGTTTGTTTTGAAGGATTCAAGGATTTTGAGGGTACTGAACAAACTTTATGTTCAGAACACATCAGTTGTCACTTGTAAATTTAACTTGTCTCAGGCATCAGACAAGTACCCTGTGGGTGGTGTCCTTTGTCCTTATTTAAACAAAGATGCAATGGATTGATAATGAATATTTTGATAGCTGTTCGTTGTTCATGTATGTTACTATTCCTTTATGTTACCCTTTAATTTCAACAGCTAATATTGTACGTCTTTAATTGGTTCTTTTTGATTTTTCACAAAAGGGTGGAGATAGAGCTTACTACCAATGAAGATCTGGAATTTAAGCCTGATTCTAAAGAAGTAAAGAGTGAACAGGAGGTAAAGAGAAGTATTCAATATTCTGTTTTATTTTATTACCAGGGATGGAGTGTGGAACTTTAGTTTTTATGTCAGTTATATTGGTTTACACTATTTGACCAGATAACTGAAATGTTGCATTCTTATGTCATGTCACTATGACCTTTTTTTTTATGTTATCACAGCATTTCAAAAACAAGAAACATTTACAGTTTCAAAGCATATACCTTTTTCTCCAAACTTGTCCATGAGTCTCCAAATATATTATATATGTATTTCTCCATCCTTGGTTCTACTTTTTGTTATCTTGTTAACTTGTACTAGGACAAGTGCTGGCACCAGACAACCAGATTATGGCCCATAGAATTTCAAAACAAATTGAAGACCAAAATTAGTACTGATAGTAGGATTCCTTGATTGAAGTAGATGGAGACTGCGTATACTCTGTTATGTTCAACAGCTCCAATGTTTCCAAGAAGGAGGTAAAAAGATCTGTGAAAAATATATTGAAATGGCACAGCGAGATCATGTGTCACAAAATGATCTAGTGGTGCTCCATGCAGAAGATCACAATCAACTGATCTAATTCCACATAATAAACTAATAATGTCACATTTTTCTGGTGTTCCCATAGTCCCAGATCATAATTTCAAAGTGAACCCAGTTCCAGCTTTAAAACAAGAGATACAACTAAACACAATCTAGTGATTTCCAATCAACAGTCAGTGATATTGTTCCAGATCACAATCTAGTGATTTCCAATCAACAGTCAGTGATATTGTTCCAGATCACAATCTAGTGATTTCCAATCAACAATCAGTGATATTGTTCCAGATCACAATCTAGTGATTTCCAATCAACAGTCAGTGATATTGTTCCAGATCACAATCTAGTGATTTCCAATCAACAGTCAGTGATATTGTTCCAGATCACAGTCCAGTGATATAAATCAACAATCAGTGATATTGTTCCAGATCACAGTCTAGCGATAAAAAATCAACAATCAGTGATATTGTTCCAGATCACAGTCCAGTGATATAAATCAACAATCAGTGATATTGTTCCAGATCAAAGTCTAGTGATGAAAACATGACAATCAGTGATACTGTTCCAGATGACAGTCACAGTCTAGTGATAAACAATCAACAATCAGTGATATTGTTCCAGATCACAGTCCAGTGATATAAATCAACAATCAGTGATATTGTTCCAGATCACAGGGTAGTGATAAAAAATCAGCAATCAGTGATATTGTTCCAGATCACAGTCCAGTGATATAAATCAACAATCAGTGATATTGTTCCAGATCAAAGTCTAGTGATGAAAACATGATAATCAGTGATACTGTTCCAGATGACAGTCACAGTCTAGTGATAAACAATCAACAATCAGTGATATTGTTCCTGATCACAGTCTAGTGATAAAAACAGGACGATCAGTGATATTATTCCAGATGACAGTCTAGTGATAACCAATCAACAATCAGTGATATTGTTCCAGATCACAGTCTAGTGATAAAAACATGACGATCAGTGATATTGTTCCAGATCACAGTCTAGTGATAAACAATCAACAGATCACAGTGATAAACAATCAACAGATCACAGTCCAGTGATATAAATCAACAATCATGGATATTGTTCCAGATCACAGTCTAATGATGAAAACATGACAATCAGTGATATTGTTCCAGATGACAGTCACAGTCTAGTGATAAACAATCAACAATCAGTGATATTGTTCCAGATCACAGTCTAGTGATAAAAACATGACAATCAGTGATATTGTTCCAGATGACGGTCTAGTGATAAACAATAAACAATCAGTGATATTGTCCCAGATCACAGTCTAATGATAAACAATCAACAATCAGTGATATTGTTCCAGATGACAGTCTAGTGGTAAACAAATGACAATCAGTGATATTGTTCCAGATCACAGTCTAGTGACTAGCCATTGACAGTGACATATTTGTGATGAAAATCATTCCTGCCAAGTATTTAATGATGCAGCAAATATGTGTGACTGGATTGCTTTTCTTCTGGATGTAGACAGCTATTAAACCAGTTACAGAAACCCCCCAAATGAGTGACAACACAAAAAATAATAAAACCCTAAAATTTCAACTACCCATCTTACATAGCCAGTACAGATTTTGGTGTGAAGCCAGACTTGGTATATTACAATGCCTCCTTACTTTAAATTGTATTATCCTCACTTTGCAATAATGATTCTCAAATTTCATGGCACTTTCACTGATTCAAATTCTCAAGATAAGAAACTGAATATCTGATGTTTTGATATTTACTCTGTGACTCAAAAATCCCTTTTCTGATATTTTTCAGGTGGAGCCAAAAGAAAATTATGTTCCAAAGCCATTACGAAGAAGATCACTCAGAGGCAGTAAGTTAAATTCAGACTATTTTGAAGTAACCTTTGCTTGCTACAGTTTGCTGTTGATCTCTGTGAGAATAAATTTTAATAGGCCCATATGTCTCTGTGGACATCAATTTTTGACATTTCTTATTGACACCTATATTCATCAATTTATATTGTAAAATTTGATGAGCGAAAAAGGAGTTTTGGCATATCATCTAAATTATTATTTGCATTTCAGAAATATATGGTAGTAATTTAATAAGTTATGTTGTATAATGATCTTACAGCTGTTAAATACATAGATTATGAAAACTGCCAAGAGCTGTCGTACATTTGTAGAATTGCCAAAAAAAATTCACAGAAATCATAAGATATATTGGATAGCAAAAGAAGTTATTTTGAATTGCAAACTGCAATTTGATGCCAGTACTGCTTAAATTGAAACTTGGTGTCCATCTGTTAACATTTTTACTTGTAAACACCCCACAATGTACAGTTTTTAACCAATTTTGACTGAAATTTGGTTATCTAAAAAAAAACTTGTAATCTTTTCGTACAATGAAATGAAACCCTTGTAATCTTTTTGTACAATGAAATGAACCTAAAATTTTTATTCAATTTTTGGTATGTGTATAAATAAACCTGAAATGAAGTTAGTTCCATTTGTGTGGCAATGGATATTTGTTTTTGTTTTAAGCTGATGAAGAAAGAAAGCCTGCGGAAGAAAATGGTGAAAATAAAGATGACAAAAAAGAAAAGCCAATTAAGAAAAGAAAATGGGGATCATCAAGTAAAACTACACAGAAAAAAGCTACAAGTTTAGAAATTTCAACTGAATCTCTAAAGGTAAAAAACCAAGTGCAGATTTTTTTTTCAAAATCATGAAAAAAGAAAAGTGCCCCATTGTGCTACAGTCAGTGAATGTGAAATGCCCCATAGACCTTATTCATGCATCAGCCTTATTGAATCCAAAATGAGGTTCATGACACAAACATAAAAAAGGTAACGTTGAGTCATAAAATCACCACCTTTTCGTCTTTAACACTTCCTTCTCCATTCTCATTAGTTCAAACTTTTAAAACTGGAATTGTTTAAGCTATTTAATGATACCTTCAGATGGAGTGTACTTTTAAACATTTCTAAGAAAGGCAAGATTTAAATCCATTTTCTTGCTGTTGATCATTGACAGCACTTAGACTATTCCTTCATATGATGTTGCCTTTGCCATCTTTTCAATGGATGACAAAATGTGCGTTGTGGAGCTGGTTTTGGGTGTCTGAAGTGCTACAGTCCCTGAATGAAAGGTTCCTCAACATATCCAAACCCCATTAACAAATTTTAATTGCTGTCATGTCAGAATGTCTCACATGGCATACAGGATGTTATTATTTTCCTAGAAATGTGCACTAAAAAAGGATAAATGGACAGTCTAATCAAAATTTAGACCAAACTTTCGTTCCATTTTTGTATGCTTTTATTTTTTACTTTTGCCACTTCAGTGAAGATCAAGTTTTAAAATTTCTTAGTTTTAATGGGTGTATTAAAGCGCACATTTACCAAATTTTTTGAAGTGATAAAGTCAAATTATCTAGTCATATAATCAGTTATTGATATTCTCTCGCCACGGGGATGCCTCGATCAGCTTTCTGTAGATCTACTGTAAACAAAATGTCATCCAGAAGTGAGCATGTGATAAGTACATGAAACTCTATTGATTGACCTTTAACTAGCTCACAACAATTTATCAGGAACACCCACACACTTGCAGACAAAGCATGTCAGAAGGTTTTTCAGTGAGACAAACAGATACCTGCAGATTACTCAATCTTTGACAGATGTTCATTATGTAATTTTATTGTAGGGATTAATCTGTGATGTGAACCCAATTTTAACTGAACCAGTATTAGATTTAGGGGGAGATAATGAGGTCCTTTCTGATAAAGAAGAAGATAAAAGAGATATAAAAATAAGAAGAACTGTTGTACAGGTACATTATTGAAATTTTAGAAAGTATGACATGGTCAGCATACCTCTAGGTATTGGCCCCCCGAAAAAAGTTGATATTGAAGTCAATTTATTAGTTGCTTCTTTTATTTGAGGTAGTGATAGTAAAGTCTTGATGCTCCAGGAAATTTTACCACCCTTTCTCTATTTAAGCTATCAACGACCCACCCCTCTCTAGATTCATTACTTTCTCCTGTCTGTCTTAATTCTGTCTAGTCTTAGATTCCTTCACCAATTTTCAACATAACATTCTTAATTTAATGAGCACTATTATCTTTTTCACCCCCAAAGATTAACATTTTTCATGGATTTTCATTTTTGGTTTGTGTTTTTTATGATAGGCTAATGCCTTTGTTTTTTTTATCAGAAATGACTAGTGCAAAACAATTGTTTAAATGTGATATTTTATCTGCATGTTGTAGGTATCATTGGGTGAAGGACGTACTGTAGAGGAGAAAACAGAAGAAAAGGAAGAGAAAAAAATTAAAGCTGAAGAATCTGATGAAGGAGAAATTAAAGACATCCAACCACCTAAAGGTACATCAAGGGAATGACTACTTTAAGATTATAATCATATTGATACTTTAATCAAGTATTTAACTATAAATCAATTCTCGGTAAGAGTTTAGCTAATGGGGTGCAGCCAAAATCACCTTTACTAATCTAACAAAAATTCAGTAAAATTTCTATGCTTTTCACAACATCTTTTATGTTGTAGAAACTAAAGTTATTAGAAGATTAAACCATCAAGTGATACAAGAACCAGAAGAACCTAAAGCTGCTAGACGTTCACCATCACCACCTAGAAACCCTATATCCAATATAGTACATATCTATAACCTAGTCAGACCATTTACATTAGGACAGTTAAAAGAATTATTAAAACGTAATGGTGAGATGGAAGATAATGGATTCTGGATAAACAACATCAAATCTCACTGTATTGCTGTGGTAAGTTAATTAACTGATATTGAATTTCGATATTACTCACTTTTTTGTTACTGTTTAACTTTAAACACCTTAGTATCATAACTTTTTTCTGATCTAATATGAAAAGTACATTAAATAAGAAATTTTAAGAACCTTTATAAAAATATATAAAATTTGGATGTTACTATCTGTCAGTATAGTAAAACACGTTAAAAATGGCTTGTGAATGCAATAGAGTTGAACAGTTTTGATTTCATTTTGATGAAACTTTACCTATAATTACCTTGGATGAGTTCCATTTTGGTGCAATATCGATAAACTCTCTTTGAGTTACTCCCTCAACTTGGCAAAACCTCATGAAATTGGTTTGTGTGTATATGATATCTTTAGAGTTATTTGTGACAGTGTTTGAGTGATTGCATGTTGGACTATCCTTTATTTACAGGACCAAGGTTGAATTTTCAATGTCATTAACTTAAATAATATTTCAATGTAATTGCTGCCCTGACCAGCTTTCTTTTTTTTTATTTCACAGTATAAGGAAAAGGAAAGTGCTGAAGAAGCTCGAAAAACATTACATGGTACAAGATGGCCACCTTCAAACCCCAAAGTTCTTCAGGTGGATTTCTCAACTAAACAAGAGGTAACAATTTTAGTGTCTATTTCACAATCAGATTAATATTGCCAAGGCCATATCTTGATACTAAATATTCAACACCATTTAGAGTTTTTAGTAAGATCTTTTGTTAAAATTAAGTAATTTATAAATATTCAAATTGTGTTGCACATGAAAGTAAGAACTAGTACTGGCATGTTATATTGGTGTATATATGTCATGCATGCCATCGTATGTGTATCATCTTTTGCATGAACTTATTTTATTGTGTGCATTGGTCAGAGATTTTTGTCGTCGATTAGAGTCTTGAGTAAAATCTGGCCCGTGCTTCCATGGCAAGATTATCGTGTTTGATAATTGTCTCTGATAGTTTTATCATCTGCAAGATATGCTGTCATCATCCAATCAGATTCATTTTCCTTTCAATTACATGCTCCCACGCGATTATAGACAGGTAGAAAACGACCGATTTGAGATTTTTGTCTCCTCGTGTGCCTATGTCAATTGATAAGACTCTTGTCGGAACTACTAGTGTACCCGCACCTTTAGGATCTCTACAAGCACTGGATCCAAAAATATCTGAAGCTTAATACGAAGATTCCTGTGGAGTAGAATAATATATATGATTCCATAGATAACTTAATATGATATTCCCTGTATCCTTAACCTTTATTACAATACAATAGATGTGGGACAGCTCATATACCACTTGCACATTCCAGTAACAGGAGTTCGCCAACCTAACAGTCGCTGGAAGCAGATTTTAACTTGTCAACCACGTACCAACCTCCATTGTCAGGAATTTTAATAGAAATTTCCTTAGGACTGTATTTAAAGGGATTAAATATAGAATTTAAATTACTAGTAATAACATTTTGTTACCTGAAAGTTGTTCTGGCTTCATTTGAAATTTCGTATGTATTGTTTTTTCTTTTAGTTTGAGCAATATAGAGATAGTAATGAAACAACTGATGTTCTAAGGCCTACACCACCACAACCCACACGAGAAAGAGAACGAGTTACAGAGAGAGAAAGAGACCGAGAAAAGGATCGATTACATGTTAATGATAGAGAAAGACCTGGTGATACAGATAGAGATTCTAGCCATGCCAAAAAGAAGGATGCAAAGCCACCTATTAGAGAATGGGATCGTGATAAGGTTAGAAATAGATCTCGATCTAGAGAGAGAGTAAGGGGTCGTGAAAAAGACCGTGCAGGGAGACACAGGTCGAAGTCAGCTGAAAGAGAAAGGAGGAAGAGAAGTAAAGAGGGCAAAGAAAAGAAAGGTAAATTATACTTCTGCCTAGTTCACACCAATGGCGAATGCCGCACTTTAAATCGGCGAGCAAAGCGCCATCATTTTTTGTTTACTTTTCAAAAAATATCTCGATCTCCTAATTAATGTTACGCTCTGATAAGCTCTGATACGAAATTTAAAGAGCGTTAAATTTGGGGACGCTTTGGGGACGAATTATTTCCCTATTGGATCAGGCCTTGTAACGCTTTTAATCACGCTTTGATAAGCTTTATTAAGCTTTAATGCGGTTATGACGCTTTGGGGACGAATTATTTCCCTATTGGATCAGGCCTTGTAACGCTTTTAATCACGCTTTGATAAGCTTTATTAGGCTTTATTAAGCTTTAATGCGGTTATGACGCTTTGGGGACGAATTATTTCCCTATTGGATCAGGCCTTGTAACGCTTTTAATCACGCTTTGATAAGCTTTATTAAGCTTTAATGCGGTTATGACGCTTTAAATCACGCTCTGATACGATTATCAAGCACTGTTGTGCATTGTTAAGCTCTGTTATGCATTGGAATATTTCGAAATGGCCGATTTCATGCCGCTTTTGATCAAGTGGTGACAGGCCGTGAAGACTGGGGTCTCCTCTTTGAATAAAGCCCTGTTAAGCTTTCCTACGCTTTGAGTCAAGCTTGCTGAACTTTGTTACACTTTGTTAAGCTTTGATACGTTCTTGGCGCTTTAATCAATTCCTGACAGAGCGCCCAAAATTTTTGAACAGTTGAAAATTTGTTGGCGCTCTTGCCGAATATCCAGCTTTGCTCAAAGCTTTCAAACGATCTATTACGACCCTGGCGCTTTAGTCGAGCTTTGATACCGCTTTGTACGACGCTTTAAAGCCCCATCAAAGCGCCGTTGGTGTGAACTGAGCATTATGATATAAGAGACAAAGCTATGGTTCTGAAAGAATTACAATATTACTTGGTGTTAAACTTGACTTGCGATGTAAATAGTGTAAATTGTAGTTCAGAAACTGAAAGATAAGAAATTAACTGAACCTTCAACTACCATGTTTTTTTTTTTAAATAATTCCAGTTAAGTACATGATCTTAGGAAATTATTGTTTTACTGGGTTTTTTTTATACTCCCACAATATAATGTGGAAGTATATTGTCGTCGTCACCCATGTCCATCCGTCCCCCATGTCCATCCGTCCATCTGTCCATCAATTGGCTTGTGAACGCGATAGAGACTACAGTTTTTATCTGATATGAATGAAATTTGGTGTGATCATTTATATTGATGAGATCTTGGTCAAGTCTGAAGTTGGCTATATTTCGATGAATGGTTTTTGAGTTATTGCCCTTGATTTATGAAAAATGTGTCAAAATTTGTTTGTGAACACAATAGAGAGTACAGTTTTTATCCAATTTAAATGAAATTTAGTATGATCATTTATAATGATGAGATCTTAGTCAAGATTGAATTTGACAATTTTTCGATGAACAGAATTTGAGTTATTGCCCATGACTTATTAAAAAGCATCAAAATTTGTTGGTGACAGTGAATTTTTTTAAACAATGTGTTTTTGTTTAAATCAACAATATCCTGCACAAATTAGATTTTTGGTATGATTTCACACATATAGGTGACTGCTCTTGATATACTGAAAATATATGAGGAAAGTGGGCATATGTTGTATGCAACCACTTGTTTAAAATTTTGACTGGATGCCGACATAACTAAAGGGGCATTCTGCTTTCTTTGTGAAATATTTTCATTATTATACGCCCACATGAATATACACATTCGAAACTTCTGACGCATTTTGAATTAAATGTTTTTGAGTTATTGCCCTTGACTTTGTAAAAACGCATCAAAGTTTGTTTGTGAGCACAATAGAAGCTACAGTTTTCAACCGATTTTGATGAAACTAGGTGTGATCATTGGAATTGATAAGATCTCGGACAAGTTCTAACTTGAGATATTTTTGATGAACGTTTTTTTAGTTATTGCCATTGACTTTGTAAACTCGCGTCAAAAGTTGTTTCTTGCCCTTGTTTAGAGCTGTGTGATTTAAATGATTGTTGTATTTGGGTTATTGATATTGATTTTAAAATTCTGACAGCTGTCAGTGTGCGTATGGTACCTTGCCTTGCAAGCCAGCATGGTTTATAGTTTTGATACATCCACACGGCAATGTGGTTGTATATTGCCGTCGCCCCTGTCCGTCCGTGCATCTATCCACATTTTTTGTAGGTGCAATAGAGGCTACAGTTGATCTTGATGAAACTTGGTATGCATGTATGTATTGATGAGATCTCGGTCAAGTTCGATATTAGTATTAATCGGATGAACCGTTTGAGAGTTATTGCCCTTGATTTAGTAAAAATGCGTCAAATTTGGCTTGTAGGCAAGCTAGAGACTACAGTTTTTATCTGATCTTGATGAAACTTGGTATGCATTTATATATTGATAGGATCTCAGTCAAGATCGAAAATTTGTAATACTTGGATGAATTGTTTCTGAATTATTGCCCTTGAGTTACTAAAAACGCGTCAAATTTCGATTGTAGGCACGATAGAGACTACAGTGTTTATCTGATCTTGATGAATCAAGGTATGCTGGTCCTCAGTCGTGTCTGAAATTGGTAATAATCGGATGAATGGTTTTGGAGTTATTGTCCTTGACTTAGAAAAAACTTGTTAAATTTGCCTTGTAGTCGCGATAGAGGCTACAGTTTTTATCCAATCTACATGAAACTTGGTATGCACGTATGTATTGGTGAATTCTCAGTCAAGTTCGAAAATGTTAATAATCGGATGATTAGTTTGGTGTTATTGCAGTTTTTTATCCAATCTTGATGAAACTAGATATGCATGTACATATTAATTAGATCTCGGTCAAGTTACATTTGGTAATAATTGGATGAACCGTTTCAGAGTTATTGCCGTTGTGTGTACAGCGGTGAGACAATGTCATGTTTGAATTTGATGATAATTTTATGAACTGTTTCTGGTTTTTGCCTTGACTTCTAGGGGATTCTAAGATTATTTGAAAATTCATTATTAAGCCTATAAATATTTTTTTGTCATTTCCGACAGTTGATAGTGGGCGTATGTTACCTTGCCTGGCAAGCTATCTTCACAAATTTGAGCAAAAAAAAATGTTCAACGTATGAAAAAAATGGAATGTCTGTTTAAGGGCAGACTATATTATTCCAGTAGTAATGATTATTTCAGAATTCCTCAATTCTGAAGGACAATGTTTTATTGGAAAGTGATAACTGAATTACTACTTAATATTTTGGTACAAAGATTTCCTCAGATCATGGATGAAAAATGGAGTGGCATGTAACATTTTAATCTGGTTGTTGTATATTTTTATGAATTTCTAATATTCTTGTGTTGACATTTATCTAGAGAAGAAAGTAGAAGATGAACCACCAGCTAAATTATTAGATGACTTATTTAAAAAGACGAAATCTACACCTTGTATTTATTGGTTACCTTTAACAGAAGAACAGGTATGTAAAGTTTTGGCTTTTTAGGCCAGTTTTTTTCTGTCATGTTAAACATTTATCACATGGAAATTTCTCTTGAGAAATAGCACACTAATGACAAAAAGTTTGCCTATAGCAGGGTTCGCACAGCCTTGAAACACCCTTGAATTCCGTCTGTTGCCTTCAAAAACCTTGATTTCCAAAAAAAATCTTTGAAAACACCATAAAAACCCATTTTCTCTTGAAAAATCCTTGAATTTTGAGTTAAGTCAATTTGTGTATATTTTTATCATTAACCCCATTGACAAATATTAACTATCTTTATTGATTTCACAGTTCAGAAGTTAGGTACATATGTATTCTGTGAGACTAATATCCTTGAAAAGTCCTTGAATTTCAAAGCCCAGAGTCCTTGAAAAGTCTTTTTTAGGCAAAGTGCTGTATGAACCCTGTAGGATCATTAATAAGATCGGGTTCAAGTGAAATGGTGTTTTACCTCCTTCTATTTGCCCCTGATTAGCCTATTTAAGAAAAGAAGGCAACGATGGAAAGTTTTAATATTTTAGCAACATCACCTATATCCTTTTTAGATTTCCAACTGTTTTATATGTGTCAATATCTGAATGATACCCCGATTTAGTGAGCAAGTGTCTTACTAGCGAGTCTCCACTGCCTCAGATAGGGCTCAAGAACTGAATGACTCTTTATGACATTTAATTAACAATATTTTTTACTTGGTGTAGGTTTTTGTAATCACCCAAGAATGAATGAAAATCTAAAAAATCGAAAAATATTTAATGAGTTATTGTCCTTGTACTTGGAAACTTGTTCAATTTTGGGCGTGTAAACACTCTAGAAGGCACAATTCTAGACAGATTTTGATGAAAATAAATGAAATTGTTTATTATCACCCAAAAACCAAAAATATTTAATATGAGTAATTAACCTTATTCTTGAAAACGCATTCAATAGCTCCTAAATACTAAAAAGCATGATTCTTAATTTTTACAAAACTTGGTAATATTGTTTAACCCAAAAAGTTCAAAAGAAGTGTATGACTGAAGGTTGAATATTTCATACTGGTGATTGTTATTGTACTCCCAAATATTTTTATTCAAAATCAAAGCTGTCTGGCAAGCTATCTTTTATAGTAAGAAAGTGCATTTGAAAGAAACATGCATTACATTTTAGTATGAACAAAGAGTAGAAGCTCGAAAAGCTAGACAACTTGAAAGGGAGAAAAGACGATTAGAAATGGAAAAACAAGAAGAATTACAGAGAAAACAGCGGTTAGCTAGTGGAGATTCTGAGAAAAAGAAAGACAAGGATAGGGTAATATATTGGTTTGTTTTTTTTATGGCCAGTCAAAGGATAATAATTCTCTGTCCACTTGCTGAGTTGCCACTGGAGGTAGTGAGACCAATAATTTTGAACACTTAAACAACAATATTTTGCTTTTTATCAAGGACATTCTGGATCTGTGACATTTAGCCCTTGTTCTAACTAGATTTTAGTTGATTTAGAAGATTTTAATTTGTTCTATCACTACTACTATTATTATTATGTATTTATGACGTGCAAGACTCTTTGTCAATGTCAGTTCTTGAGAATGATTGAGAACTGGTAGGTTTTTTCTTAACTCTCTCCTAAAATGTGTCTTTTGTCATTACAGCCATCATCACCAATAAATAGGTCTCGCGGAAGGCGAAGTCAAAGCCCAAGAGGAAAACAAAAAAGACCTAGTCCAAATCGTTCCCGTCCCAACCGAGGTCGACATTCTCGGAGTAAAAGTAGGGGTAGATGGTAAAAAAATATATCACCTAAAAATATGTAGATATAATTCATTAGTAATGATTGTTATTTTAATATGGGCATTGGTTAATATTTACTTTCATAAGACTTGTCATGATTAACCAACTTGTAAATGATTTTGTAGTATTTAATGGTCTTTTTATTCATTAAGATAAATGTCAATCTGTTAAAATCTTCAAACAATCAGTTTTGTTATTTCATATTTTGGTCTGGATTTCTAGGAGCTATTACATTACATTATTATTACAGAATATTATGATTTTTAGGGTTTCAAGGACAAGTATTATTTGCCCCTAAAAATTAGATTATACAATAATGATACAAAAAGAGATTTGAATGAATTTGCCGAGTTCTGTTTAAATCAATAGTGAAAAAAATCCCAAAGAACTTCATGAGATCTTACCTCCCTGGATGTCTGTAATAGCAAATTGTTTTAACTATTAAATCATATTGAATTATTTTGGACTAGGTAATAGTCTACAATGTTTACAGCTAAATGTTTTAATAGGACTACCATTTCATTGGGGCTTTTGTTTAAGAAGTGAAATGATGTCATTTGTTTTTGTTGATATATTTTTGTGTACTAAATGTTTGGTTTTATATAATTTTATTGTAAAATAAATTTATCCTAGACTGTGTCCTGTTTTTTTTTTTATCATTTTTTATGCCCACATAAATATGTGGTCGTATATTGTTGTTGCCCCTGTTCGTCGGTCAACATTTCTTGTGAGCACTATAGAGACTACAATTTTTATCTGCTTTTGATAAAACTTGGTGTGATGCTTTAGATTGATAAGATCTCGGTCAAGTTCGAATTTGACATATTTTCGATGAACGGTTTTTGAGATATTGCCCTTGACTAAAAACGCCTTGAAATTAAAAATTGTTCGTGAGCAGGATTGAAGCTACAGTTTTCATCCGATTCGGACAAGTTCTAACTTGACGCATTTTCGATGAACGGTTTTTGAGTTATTGCCCTTGATTTTGTTAAAACGCGTCAAAATTTGTTAAAAATTGTTCGTGAGCAGGATTGAAGCTACAGTTTTCAACCGATTCTGAGGAAACTTGGTGCGATCATTGGAATTCATAAGATCTCGAACAAGTTCTAACTTGACGCATTTTCGATGAACGGTTTTTGAGTTATTGCCCTTGACTTTGTTAAAACGCGTCGAAATTTGTTAAAAATAGTTCGTGAGCAGGATTGAAGCTACAGTTTTCAACCGATTCTGATGAAACTTGGTGTGATCATTGGAATTGATAAGATCTCGGACAAGTTCTAACTTGACGCATTTTCGATGAACGGTTTTTGAGTTATTGCCCTTCACTTTGATAAAACGCGTCGAAATTTGTTTAAAATAGTTTGTGAGCAGGATTGAAGCTACAGTTTTCAACTGATTCTGATGAAACTTGGTGTGATCATTGGAATGGATAAGATCTCGGACAAGTTCTAACTTGACGCATTTTCGATGAACGGTTTTTGAGTTATTGCCCTTCACTTTGATAAAACGCGTCGAAATTTGTTTAAAATAGTTTGTGAGCAGGATTGAAGCTACAGTTTTCAACCGATTCTGATGAAACTTGGTGTGATCATTGAAATTGATAAGATATCGGACAAGTTCTAACTTGACGCATTTTCGATGAACGGTTTTTAAGTTATTGCCCTTGACTGTGTTAAAACGTGTCGAAATTTGTTAAAAATAGTTCGTGAGCAGGATTGAAGCTACAGTTTTCAACCGATTCTGATGAAACTTGGTGTGATCATTGGAATTGATTAGATCTCGGACAAGTTCTAACTTGATGCATTTTTGATGAAGGTTTTTTTTTTGAGTTATTTCCCTTGAGTAGTTTTTTGCCCTTGATTAGAGCTGTGTGATTTAATTGTTTGTTATATTTGGGTTATTGATATTAATTTTTTAAAATTTTGTGGAATTATTCAGCATAAATAATTTCTTCAATATGAGAAAATTCGTACTTTAGTCACTAAAGACTGTTTAGTTATTTCTGACAGCTGCCAGTGGGCGTATGTTACCTTGCATCGCAAGCTATCTTTATCTGATTTTAATGTAAGTTCATGTGGGAGTCAATGGATAAGATTGAATTGAATGAACAGTCTTTGAGTAACTGCCCTCGTTTTAGTATGAACAGTTTTAAAGTTATTACCCATATCTTAAAACTTTAAGTTTGATGTACATATTTGAGTTATTGGTTCTTCGAACGACCTGCTTTGTTTTTGTTATTCGAAAAAAAATACTTTTTTTGTGGGACTTTTTTGCAAAGTCCCAGTTTGTTATCGAAATGTCAATCCCTTTTTCTTTTTTTTTTTTTCGATTTTTACACACCTTCCCGAGCTTAGACTACAATAGTTGCTGCAACCTTTCAACGTTCACGAACCTTAGATATAGGCGACGATGTGCATAAATATATTTTGGATCTTTTTTGCAAAACCGGAAGTGCCACAGTTCAATATGTGCAAGAAAAGATAATCGGCTCTAGAAGTCGTATTTTTCGGTCGATTATCTTTGGGTTTGCATTTTTGGAATCTACTGTTAAAATCTGAAAGAATAGCAGTTTCAAAATTAGAAAAAAATTCGAAAATTTGTCGCAGACATTTTTTTGGCCAAATTTTGCATTTTTTTCATTGCAGGGCGTAAGCGAACGCCCTGCTTTGTTTTCGTAACGATTATTTTTTTTTTTGTCAGCTAGGGAGCTTATTTCTCGGAACCAGAAATAGGTACGACAAAACGGACTTCATGACGTTTTCTACCTCGTGGCTATTAACGTATTAAATGTAAAACGAAAATGTTCTGCGCAACGGGAAGTGAGATAGCAAAAAACCGGAAATGGACTGTAGAGGGCGTATTTATCGTTCGATTTTTCTCGGGTTTCCTTTATTATAATTCTTAGTACAAAGGACATATGATAGCAGTTGAAAACATTCGATTTTCCAAAATTCGCTCGATACTTTTTTTTGTCGAAATTAATCGAAAAATGCTATTTCGGTTGCTTTTTGACGGATCGTTTTGAAATTTTTATGACGTAGACCGTCGGTATGGGCAAATAATTCTGCATAGTCAAAAAATGTTCATCACTTCCGGTGAAATTGAGTTATGTCAGAAATGACATATGCATAAGCTTAGTGTCACTAATACAAAGTGTTACAACTAAAAAAATTCGTACCGGAAGTAACATATAGGTCGCCATATTGGTTTGCCTCAATATGCAAAACTTGCTATTTTGGAGCTATTTATTATCCGATTTGAACAATTTTGGTGTTAAATGATAGAATTAACTTTTATCTAAAACTTGTTGAGGACAGAATTTTGATTTTCGGTTTTGCCTTTTTTGTACGACCGGATATTTTTTTTCAAAGTTTGAATGCGTATATCTCATGACCTTGACCTTTGGTGACCTTCATATTTACTATGATGATAAATTGTGACCTTGAATATCTGATGACCTTTTGACCTTTGGGGTCAGACAACCATTTTCGATTTTATAGGGGTTTAAAAATGGTCCATTTTGAACCTTTGCAGTGCTGTATCTCGTAGCCTAATAGTGATATAGCAATAATTCTTTCGAATTCATAATGCTGAGATTCTGAGCTTTCCAGTGATATACAACATGTCTATGTAACATGCATATTTAAAAATTATATTCGTTTAACATTGTGGTATCAAATTTAAGTTGGTTAATGAGATGTCAGTATAGATAAAATTCCTGAGTTTGACATGTCCGTTAAAGTACCATTCTCCCCAATTTCTATCAGAAAGTTCGTCAACTCTAGGCACTGTTGGATATTTGCATTTAGAGATGCAGAAAAGTACTTACATCTATGTAATTGCAATAGACCAACTTCGTATGTACCCGAATGTCGTAACACGCCCTGCATCAGTACTGTTATTAGTACAGTTCTAGTTGTGGAAGTTCAGCAAAGTCCCAGTTTGTTATCGAAATATCCATTCTTTTTTTTTTTTTTTTTTTTTTTTTTTTTTTCGAAATTTACACACCTTCCTGAGCCTAGACTGCAGTAGTTGCAGCAACCATTCAACTTCTCTAGACCTTCTGTAGTGGCAACGTGTTCCTTAAATATATATTGGAACATTTTTGCAAAACCGGAAGTGCCACAGTTCAACATGTGCAAAAAGTCAAAAATCGGCTATAGAAGGCGTATTTTTGCATCGATTTTCTTCGGGTTTTCATTTTTACAAACTACCTGTAATTTCTGACCTGATAGCAATTGAGAAATTACGAAATTCGAAAATTCCTCGCTCACTTTTTTCGATTAAATTTTTCAATTTTTTTGCAACTTTTTTGCTATTGCATCGATTGATCTGAAATTTAATATGCAAAGGGACATCACTAAAGCAAATAATATGTAGTTGTCAAATATTTAACTTTACTTCCGGTTTTAAACGGGGAATCAATTGAAAGTACAATCCACTTCCGGTCGAATAACTTCCGGTGTAATTCAAATAGGTCAACGAAATTTATGCTGATCGTAAGTAAATGCTAATACAAAAAAATGAAGAAAATAAAATCCAGACCGGAAGTGATACTTTGGCCGCCATATTGAAAAAACACACTTTTGTAAAACTCAAAATGGGGCCTCAGGGTAAATGTTGATATGCTCAAATTTGATGTGAATGTATTCCGCAATCGATTGCGCAAAAAACATTGGGAGCCGAATTTTGAATTTCGCTTTTGCTTTTTTGCAACTTCCGGTTGAAATTTTTTCATGCTTTAAACAATCACACCATGTGACCTTGACCTTTGATGACCTTGACCTTCATAGGGTCAAAGGTCATTGACCTTGGCTATCATTTGATACTTTGACCTTTGACCTCCGACATGTACTTCCGGTTTTATAGCTATCCGTAAAAAGCCAAATTCGCAACTTTGGACTGCTCTAGCACGTGACCTAATTAACCTAGAGAGTTAATTTTTTCGGTTTCCTAATGTGCTTTTCATGCACTTAACATAGATATAGAACAATTGCTTTTTTAAAGCAAAATTGAAATTGGTGATTTTTTTCAAATTTGAGTTTTGTTTTACCATATTTGTGTCATTTTGATCTTGGTGTATATATATCTTATGACCTATTCTATGTAGAACCTTTATATTTGGAATACAACTAGACACTTCGAAAATGAATTCACCTATGACAAAAAAATGGCGGTGGGTGTGGCACATCCGGGTTGAATTACTAATTGTTTACATTTTGGGGCTGGGGCATAACTCGCATAGGATACGTTTGTTAAAAAAAGGCCTTTGCACACAATTACCTCATCCTTTTGGCCAGTTTGTGTTAACAGCTCAGTTGTTTCAGCTTTATAGTTCCAAAAAAGGAACGGGTTTTAACATTTGGATATTTTCATTTTTCGATTTTGACCTTTGTTGACATTTGTTGACCTATATCTTTTGACCTGAATAATGTAGAAGCTTGAAATTTAACACACAACATAACATTTGGAATATCAATTACCCCATGCAAAAAAAATTAAGGTGGGCGTGGCACATTTGGGTTAAATTATTCATTATTGACATTTTTGGCCAAAGGCATAACTCGCAAAGAATACATTTGTTCAAAATGGAACTTTGCATACAATTACCTCATCTTGTGAGCCACTTTATCTTAGATG